GATATGGAGGAGGGATACGTACTAGTGCTCTCTTCCGTCCTCTTCCTCCTTAGGGTATGTACCCAATCATGGCTGCGTGGCGACACTGCATTTTGCACCGCACCGCTGCACGCAGTCGCTTGCGCGGAGTCCGCCATACGATTCGGACCCCAAGCCTTGTTGGTCCCTGCTCCAGGGCCCTGGGTGGCTCCCACCCGGATGGCTGAGCTCCCCAGCCACAAACAAGGCCCCCTACCCGGAATGCTTGAGTGCCACAGTTGGCTCCCAACTGAAGGAAGGCAAACCCGCACCTCCGCTGTCGGAGGGATGTGTGGTCCGTACCAACACAAATGCGGGCAGCCCTGAACCCTACGGAGGGCAATCCCTCCTGGCGAGCCCTACTGCTCCAGCAGGGCGTATGCACGTTCAGGGCTGCAGGCCAAGAGATCCAAGGCTATCTGAGAAGCTCTCGTGAGCAACCTGCCCCCTCGATCAGGAAGTTCAAACTCCGTCTGCTGCGCGAGAGCCTGGTCAGCGTAAATCTTGGCTGTACGTTCATTCTTCCACCTGCCGTACAGTGTAGTCCGGGAGATGCTATGAAACGTTTGGTAATGCCAGGTTGCGCCTCCACGGCGAAGAGCATATGGTGTCAGCTGATCGAGAGGAAGACCGGCCCGTGCGCCGTAACGTCGAAAGGCCAACCGAAACTCCCGGGGGGTACCGCCGAAGACCCGGCCAGAGTCCCCGCGATACGAGGCCAACTTCAATGCAGCAATCACCGAAGCTTCTTGGAGCCACACCTTTTCGTGAATGTTGTAGCGCTGGCCGGATTTGGTGCCCCGCGGGACCAGGATGGCCCCCCCGTGATCACCTAAGTACATAATGTCCTGGAATTGTAAATTGACGACCTCTGAAGTACGAAGTAAACCGGCGAAGCCGGCGAGAATGGCGGCGGCGAACCCGAAGTCCTGGTCAAGGAGCGCGAACCCCGCCATGCCACAAACCATAAGATTCGTAATAGGTAGGGCTCGGACTCGTTGCACGCTGCGCCGCCAATTCGTCACGTAGAACCTGCTTATGGGTAATTGGTTACGCGCCCTAGGCAAGAAGCGGCCCAAGGCTGAAAGTATATCGGTGGCCATGCCCTCCGGGTGATCGTCGAGCCACAAATGGTTCATGAACTCGGACACCTCATAATCTAATTGCTGCGCATCCTGTGGGAAAGGGCGTCCCCCTTCGTCAAGATACGCAAAGAAAATCCGTAAGACGTTGCGGTAGCGTTTTCGTGTCTTCTCTCCAATTCCAATCTCCTTGAGATGCCGCCGAAGACGGCGCGGCGCCCCCTCAGCACGCCGCCGGCCCTGGGTCATTCTGGCAATCGGGCCTGGCTGGGCCCATCCGCGAAGTTCCAACCAGAAAGCGTCCACACCATCAACGGGTAGATGTCACCTGCAAGGATAAGCCCCGCCAGCTTCCGGAGCTGCGAGTTGAGAGATCGAGAAGACGAGCGACCTTTGGCGACCACTGCGGCCGCCACCTGGCTATCGACGACGTGGAAGAATTGCTTCCCCAGGAACCGGCGCGATTGCGCCGCCTCGGTCACGTGGTTCAGGAAAGCCACCACCTCCAGGATGGAGATATGCTGAGGGGACCTCCAGCTGTACGCCGCCACGGTCTTCCACGCCTAGCGGAAAGCTGGGTATGGCGCTACCTGCCTGGACGCCCTGTGGAGTTCTCCGGCCCACAGCTGCACGTCCGAGCCTCGATGATCGATCCTACGGTACAGGTCCCGAAGGTGCTCCACCTCCTGGCCCTGGCGCATGTTCTTGAGGAACGCGTGAAGCTCGTCAGCCACCGCGTTGTTGACAATCTCCTCCGCCAGGCGTCTGCTGGCGCCCTGGAGCTGGTCCCGGAGCCACTGCGCCTGGGCCGTGAGCTCCCGCGGGAACAAGTAGCCGCCTAGCTCGAGGAAGACATACTGGACGACGTCCGCGTACGCGGCGCAGAACTCCTCCGGGTAGCCGTCCTCCAGCTGATCGCCTCGAGGGCCTGCCTGGGCCTGGCGAGTCGCAAAGGGTCCCTCGAGCCCCGGCCCGTCCTCCGAGTGGAACCGGACGTGCAGCGCCGGGCAATTGTGGAGCAGCACCGAAACCTGGTTCCGGCGCCCCCCAAAACCTCGAACCCAGCACTGCGTGAGGTAAATCCCCTTTTGCCGCGCAAGGCGCCGAGCCAAGGGGAAACGGAATAGCCAGCTCCTGCAGGGGTGCTCCAACACACTCACTCCCCAGCTATCCGCCCGGCGTCCAACTCGAGCGAGGGCAGCGTCGGCTATCTTGTTGGACTCCCGGACCCGGTCCAGGGTGCGCCCCCGCAGCCACGGCAATCCTCTGGGATGCCGGCGGCCTCGCACGGCGGGGGAGCGCGCGTCCTTGAGCATGAGTCGGACCCCTGGCGCCCAGTGCTCCCAGAGGATGGGAGGCTTCTCCACCAACTTGCGGACGTACTCGGCCCCCGCCGGCTCCAGGAAGTCCGGCATGCCTGGGCGACGCGCGTCGTACGGCGGCGCCACCTCTACCCCAGTCTTCGCGACCGCGTTGGTGAGCTTGGCGCTGGTCCCCGAGAATACTTCCACAAACGTAGGGAATGAACCCAGCTCCAACGCCTGGCAGCAGGGCCCGGTATCTGGCCCTTCAGGCTTCCGCCGATGCGCAAGAAGCTCCTCCAAGCCTCCGGCCGCGTACCCGCACCTCGCCGGGCAAGGGTAGGGGGCCTTGCACGGATCCCGCGCTTCAGGTCCCGGCCGGGCTGGGGCGGGCACGAGCCGGGAGAACTCCTTCGCGACCGCGGCGCCGCCTCCGGTGGGAGAGGCGTCGGTAATTGAGATATGCTCGTACACCTCCGCCCTCAAGCTCCCGGCGGCCATCGGCAGCAAGCCCGCAAAAGTGATGATCTCGGTGAGGACCTGCAGGTTCGGCGTTTTGAGCTCCCCGGGGCACTCCAGCAGGCGGAAGATGTCCTGGAGTACCGAATACAACGGCCGGCGATAGGAGGCGGCATAGCACGCTAGGCCTCCCCAGTGCCGTACAACTCCCTCGGTCCAGGCGGAGTCCATGAGCATCCCCATGGAGAGCCTAATGGCATGTCGGCTCCGCCTCCGGGCATGGGCATACAGCCCCAGCTTCCCATCGGACTCGCCCCCCTGGATGGTGGCCCGGTAGCTGCCCACAAGCCGCTTGCCAACGTTGAGTGGGAGTCCCAATTCCCGGCACACCCCCACGAAGCGCGCGTGCTCGGGGGATTCGCGCTCAAGCTCACTCCCTGCCAGGGCCTTGTCCAGCACGCGTACGTAGTCGAACGAGTCCAGCACCACCATCGAGTAGTCAGGGCCCGTCGGGAAGAGGCTGCCCTTTGCCACTTCCGTCTCCGGGGCCACTCCAGCTCGGACAAAAACCAGGCGTCGGACCAAGAGCTGGACCAAATCGACGGCCCCCCTGTAGCCCATGGGGACCGTGCGGATACCCACGCGGAAGTCCGAGCAGTCGGGGCCCTTCACAAAGCCACTGACCATGCGCTCGTATGCTGTGAAGCCGCGCCAAGCCAGGGGCTGCACGAACAAGTTAAAGCAGCTCTCGAAATCCTCGCTGTCCACGAGCGCCTCCTCGCAGCTTCCGAGGATAATCAAAAGTGCATGGCCCAGGTATGGCAGCTTATTCGCGTCCCCCTCCAGCGTGGCCATGAACTGGTTCACCGGCGTCATAATGGTGATGAAGCGAAGCTCAAGCCCTCCGCCGCTATGGCATCCCATTCCGTCTGGTTGCCATGCACGCGGGACTTGTGCACAGACGTGGGCCACTCCTCAGGCGGCTTCAGTCACCTGTACGGGTCGAGGTATCGCTCCCGGAGGGGGTCTTCGAGGAAATCGGCGGCCGGGTGAACCGCGGCGCAGCCAGGAGCCGGCCACGTAGGGATAACCTTGTTGGCTATCAGCTCCCTCCTCACGCTGATGGTCTCTCCCTCGTAGGTGTACTTCCGCCGCCGAGCCTCGGCGTACTTAGCCCCCCAGTCGTCCACGTCATCCTCGGCCAAGAACCACAGCACCTGGGTCACTAGCCTCTCAAGCGCCTGCCTATGGAGGGGGCCCAATGGCCCGTCTGGGACTGGCCCCCGGCCCAACTGGGAGGAACTCGATTCCTTCCCCGGCTCCGCAGCCATCCCGGAGCCCAAGAAATTAATCAGCATCACCACCACCCAGGTCCAGTCAACAGCCAGGCCGGGGTCAACCGAGAGCTCGAGAGCGCGCGGCCGCACCATCTCCTCGAGCGGCGTCACGGGAAGCGGCAACAGGGAGCGCTGCGCGCCATTGTGGCTCCGGCTGGGCCGAAGTGCAGCGGTGCGGACGTACTGGCCCAAGGCGGATGGCATGGAAACCAGCGCCCCCCGCAGCCACCTCCCCATCTGTGCGCCCGAGACCGCGAGAGGAGTCTCTCCCCAGAGGTTCTTCCGCCAATCTTCGATGTCAAGGGCGGCCTCCATTGCGCTGTGGAGCCCGGGCCCTGAAGCTGTCAACCCTAGTGGTGGCCCTTGCCCCTTCCCTGAGGGTCCTTCCCCTTGTCCTTCCCCCTGTCCTTGTCCTTGTCTTTGCCTTTCCCCTTCGACCACCCGCCTTTCAGCTTCCACTGCAACTTCTCCTCCTTCGTCGTCATGTACTCCTCCTCTCTGTCCACCAGCGTAGTGCCTTCGGGGGGAAGGAGTTCCAGCCACCCTGCCTTCCCCCAGTGCCCGTCCACGGTGGCTTGCTCCACCGCTTTGAGCCGCTGGGCGAGCAAGTCGGCAGCCTGCCCGTACGCCTTGGCCGCCAAGAGATCCAAGGCTTTGCACAAGGTGCGGGCCTCGCGGGCATTCCGAATGCCGAGGCTCGGATGGCTGTTCTGGAAGATGCCCAGGAAATAGGACACGGCGGCGGCCGGGGGTGCTCCCTCCAAGGTCGTCGGCTCCTCCCCACGGTCCGTCGCCGCCGCCATCTTCGAAAGAAGACGATGGGCGAGCCGACCGGCATGCGTCCGGGAGTACTCCACCAGGCTCATGTGCGTGTGCCCGGTTGGAGAGGAGCCGCTGCCAAAAACTCCCCAGCCTCGGGAAGGGGAACGACTGGAGCGCCGCAGGACGGGCCCACTCCCGAAGGGCCCACGGTCGTGGCGGCCGCGACCCCGGCGGGAGCGGCTGCGCAAGCGGTCCCTCGAGCGCTGCCGGCGGGTACGACTCCCTCGCGACGGAGACCGCGAGCGGCTGCGCCTCCGCTCCCGCGAACGCTGGCGTTCCCTCCTGGCCTCAGGGTCCTTCTCCTCTTCCTTCTCCTTCTTACCTTTCTTCTCCTCCTCCTTCTCTCGGCGGCGATCCGGCTCACGACGGCGATCCCGATCGCGACGGTCAGGCTCGCGACGGTCGGGGTCGCGGCGCTCCAGCTCGCGACGGTCAGGCTCGCGACGACGGTCCCGCTCCGGCACCGCCTTGGACCCCGCCGCGAAAGGGTCGTCCTGGCAGGGCTCATCACGGCGGCGGCCTCGCCGCGACCGGCTCCTCCGCGCTGCCGGGGAGTTCCGCAGGTCCTCCCGAAGATCGCGGATGTCCTTCGCCAGGCCGCCCTTCTAGTCCTCCGCCTGCCGGTCTGGAGGGAAGAGGCGGCCTCTGGGCGCGCCCCCAGCCTTCTCGCCAGGCGCGCCTTCGGCCTCCTTGCCACCAGCCGCGTCCGCTGGAGGCGCATCTCCTTGCAAAGATTTTGCCAACTCCTCAGCCCGCCTGCGCGCTGGCCCCTTTAGCCAACGGAGGCGGCCCTCCAAGATGTCCTCGGGGAGGACCCGCCGGAAGCCGTCGACGTGGACGTCCGCCTCAGGGGCCTCCTGGCAATCGACGGCCGCCTTCTTGCACAAGTGGTAGGTCAACGTGTAGCTGGCCTCATGCTGGAACCAATACGCGTAGAAGTCGTCCGAGCAGGCGACAAACTTCATAGCCACCATCTTCCCGAGGCACGCGTCGCCCTTAGCCAAGAGCAGACCCGTGCCCTGCCTGGTGGAATAGTCAGCCTCCCACAAGTCGACCTCATACAAATGGCCCGCTTCGACGACCGCCCCGGTGCCGATGCCGAGCACGTGGTCGGGGTCGTCCCGCACCCGGAGCCAGGGCCCGGGCATGGCAGCCCCAAGGCTGGGCCGAAGGGGGAGAAGCGGCCACTCCCTAAAGGGGTTAGGGAAGTAAGCAGTCGCGGACTTGAACCTCAAAACTATAGCACGGACGGGGGTTGCGCACTAAGGCCGGGGGTCCCCCCCCTCATACTTGGATCTTGGGCGCTGGGTGCCTCCCTTCTATTTTGCAGGACGTCTACTGTTCTTCACCACCGATCTTGGCCAGGCTCATCCTCGGCCGCGGATCGTCGCGTACGCCCTCCCGGCCAGGCCAGAAGGGCGTGCACACCGATCTAGGGCCCAGGATGGTCCTGGCCAAGATCTGTGTGGAGGGTTCCTCCGAAGGGCTTAGGCGACCCGTCGTCGTCCTCCTCCTCCTCCTCCTCCTCCTCCTCCCTCCTCCCTCCTCCCTCCTCCCTCCTCCTCCTCCTCCTCCTCCTCCTCCTCCTCCTCCTCCTCCTCCTCCCTCCTCCTCCTCCTCCTCCTCCTCCTCCTCCTCCTCCTCCTCCTCCTCCTCCTCCTCCTCCTCCTCCTCCTCCTCCTCCTCCTCCTCCTCCTCCTCCTCCTCCTCCTCCTCCTCCTCCTCCTCCTCCTCCTCCTCCCTCCTCCTCCTCCTCCTCCTCCTCCCCTCCTCCTCCTCCTCCTCCTCCTCCTCCTCCTCCTCCTCCTCCCCCTCCTCCTCCTCCTCCTCCTCCTCCTCCTCCCTCCTCCTCCTCCTCTCTCCTCCTCCTCCTCCTCCTCCTCCCCCTCCTCCTCCTCCTCCTCCTCCTCCTCCTCCCTCCTCCTCCTCCTCCTCCTCCTCCTCCTCCTCCTCCTTCTCCTCCTCCTCCTCCATCTCCTCCTCCTCCTCCTTGTGTCGCCTACGGCCCCGGGGGAAACCGTGCAGATCCGCGTTGGTGTTTAGTTGGCGCTCCCATATCTTGGCTGCGTGCTGCTGGACTTCATGCCTCGGGTCGCTCTTTCGATTTGTCTGTTTGATGCGGACGCCTGTGGACTGCCGGGCACGTGCACATTGAGAATCAGGGTGAGTCTTGCCCAAAGACCGATCGCTGAGTTCTCTTTGCTCAGGCCTGTAATGTTGGTTTGAAGGCCGGCGCCAAGTGCACTAATGGCAATGCCACCAATACATTCGGTGTATACGTTCGTCTTCCATATAGGCCGAGTTGAAAAATTGTTGACGCTTCGCGTATCCCCACCAGCCCATCCAGAAACGATGCGCAGGGGAGTTGAGGTGATCAGGGAAGTCGGGGAGCATGCAGAATAACAAAGGGCGGGGGAAGCTGTCACGTACCCCAAGAGGGGGAGGATGGAGAAGGAATCCTCGTCGGAGGGGGAGGGGGAGGAAGAGGAGGAGGAGGAGGAGAATGAGGAGGAGGATGTGGAGTAGGGAGAGGACGAGGAGGACGAGAAGGAGGAGAAGGAGCAGAGGGAGGAGAAGGAAGAGAAGGAGGAGAAGGAGGAGGAGGAAGAGGGGGATCAGAAATTGAAGAGGACGGCGAACCGAAGAGCCAGAAGCGTCTTAAATGCATTTCGGAGATCCTCTTGAGGCTTCTTGGGGGTCTCTTGGGAGCCTGTTGGAGGCCTCTTGGGCGCCTCTTGGGGCCGTCTGGGCGCCTCTTGGGGCGCTCTTGGGGCGCTTTTGGGGGCTGTAGGGGCGCTCTTGGAGCCATCTTGGAGGAGATCGATCAACGAAGGGGGGTTCCCTAATTAGCCTCCCCCCTCAGGATCTCCAAACATCGCCTCTTGGGGCGCTCTTGGGGCGCTCTTGGAGCGCTCTTGGGCGCTCTTGGTGCCGTCTTGGGGCTCTCTCGGGCCTCTTGTGGGGCCCTCTTGGGCCATCTTGGAGCCATCCTGAGGCCTTGGATGGCCATCGGAAGCGAAACGGGGAGAAAGCAACAAACATCTATTTTCTTAAGGGTTTGGGAAGATTTTGGCCTCTTCGGGGCCTCCTTGGGGAGCTCTTTGGCCACTTGGAGCCGTCTTGGGGCCGTCTTTGGGCCTCTTGGAACATCTTAGGAGCCATCTCGAGCGATCTGGCGCTATCTTGAGCCATCTTGGAGCTCATCTTGGGCTCTCTGACGCGCTCTTGAAGCCATCTTGGGGCCACAAGAGCCGTCCGACCGCTCGCGAAACCCTCCGTCCAGGTCCTGGGGAGGGGGTAGGGGGAGGGGTAAACCCCTCGCCAAGGGGGAAGAGGGAGGGGTGGAAGAGGATCTGTTCTAGACCACCTACGCCCAGAGGGCTGGTGGGATTCGTATTGAGTGCGCGCACGGAGCAAGAACAGCTGTGATGACGACGACGACCACGGTGTAGTGATTTCGGGCTCACAGTATGATCTGAATTCTGCTCGGACGCTGCTCCTGCTCATGGTGCACTGTGTGGTTGGGCTCTGCGCCTTTGGACCTCGTTTCGGTCGTGCTACCGTGGAGCGTATACGAATGAGAGCGAGAACGGTTCCTGGAAGAAGGAATACCTCTCCCTGGGGTGGCCGGTAGCAGCAGGTGTTAGGACCTGTGGGCAGACAAGCAGGCCACGGGCTTGGCTGATTTTTTTGGCGGAGCCGCTGCACTTTTTCGAGGCGCTGCGCTCGCCCCGCCGACCCTTCTGGCCACAGGCATCCCGCTGTCGTATCGTGTGGCAACGTATACGAGCCCTGCTTGGCACGGCTCACCGGGCGCGTTCCGCTGCTCGCAAAGTGCCTACTCGCAAACGTCCGGAAAACAACAGGTCCTCCTGCATATAGTGGATCGTAAATCCACCGCGGCGGACCCGGGCCATTTGCGAGTAGTGACTGTGCGAGCAGTGGAACGCGCTTGTCCAATGGCCGGACTCCGTCTGGTCGAGAAAGGTCTGACTCTGAGAGGTAGCGCATACGGCCCGGCACTTTTCTGTGATCGAGCCTGTTCTGGTCAGGTCGTGCCGGTCAGTCAGTGTGTGAGACGAGCCCCGTCGAACTCTTCGACGTCTGCGTCCGTTCTTCCTCTCGGCCGTCCCCCCCTTCTTTGCCCGCCGGCCAATTCGCTAGTCAGTGTCCCTATCTAGCTTCTCGCTGGAGCGGAGTTGGCTGCCTCGCCGCTGACGGAAAAGTGTGAGACGAGCCCTGAAGGTTTTGGGCTACGTCGGCACGGGTGTGTAGAGTCGTCAGTCGGACGATGTGAGGTCATTCAAATGGTTCTTCTTCCTTCTTCTCCCTCTCTCTGTAGTTGTCGTGCTTCTCCTTGTGTCCTTGATGTGCCCATCCTCTCTCAGTGCATCCTCTCCTCTCTCCTCTGTCACCCCTCCTTTCAGGCCCTCCCTCACACTCATGGCTCTTTTGTGCCACCCCCCACGTGTCCGCATTCGTTGGGCGCCACGCTTGCGACGCGAGCACAGAAGCGTCTTCAGCTTCTCTTACCTTTTCCAGCGATGGCCTTCTCGGGTCCGTGGTGGGGTCTCCCGCCCTGGCCTCTGCCCTCCCGAGCTGTCCAGTTCGGCCTGGTCGGATGCTGCTGCTCGAGCTTGAAGCCATCGGGCATGAGACTGCACGCGTGAGCATAAGGAAACTTTCGGCACTTTTTCGAGCCAATCGGCGTTCTTCGCTACGACACCCACGACGCGCCCCCACGTTCACCGCTTGCCCGCAGCAGAAACGCCCGTGGAGTCTAGTTCGAAACGCTCGTTGGAGTTGGCACCCTGTCTGCACCCAGCGCGCATCGTTCCGAGGAAGTCCCACGCGTTTCGCCAGTTTGCGCCTTGCTTGCGCCTTGTGTGCATCCAGGTGCAAGTCCGTTTCCAGGAAGTTGCGTCTCGAAATACTGTTCCTCCGCTTGTTTGGGCTCGGCTTGTATTGTTCGGGCATTCTT